AAAAGTAGTTTAAATTAAAAAAATAATTTAAAGAATATGCCAGGATTTCCATTGGTAACTACATATTCAAATGTTACCTTTATCATATGTCTAAAAATATGAATTTTTTTCATAATTTATGTAAACACAAGAGCTTTTTTCCCCAAGACTATGGCTGAAATAATGAACAAAACAAAGAAACAGAGCAAGAGAGCAAAGAGGGAGAGAGAAGAGAGAAAAATAGGTTTTAATTCCCTACATTTTAATGCTAAAGATCCAATAACCTCTCTTTTGGCTGTATGTGTGTTTATGTTAGGTCAGTAGGGGTCAGAAAAGACATAATCTTTGGATAAGATAGTTCCTCCTTTCCTTCCCCATTTGATGTTGGATACTCTTTTTCAATAAACAAAGTGAGCCGTTGTTCAAAAGCACAGTTGTGAAAGAAATCTGAAGAAACAGATTCTCGGCAACTCTGGTCACTTCCAGGCTGAGATAGATGAATCAGGCTATTTGTATTTTAGCATCACCATAATGTGGCTTCACATACTAAACCCTGCACTTCAAACTATACAATTCCAAATACTAAATATTGTGAAGGAGGTGAAAATATGAAGACCATAAAGGTGAATGCTTTCCAGGGATAAGAAGTAAGGAAAAGATGGGCAGGAAGAAGCTAGGAAACGTAAGGACACAGAAATAGTGACTCTTGTTATTGAATTTTGAAAGCCATATGAGCTAGGACTACTAAAACAACAAAGCAAACTAGTAAGCAATGGTCTAGAGATTAGCAGACACAAAAATGTTGAAATTTAAAGATAATAACATATTTGGTGTTTTGTTTTGTTTTCACAGGGTATCCCTATAGCTCCAGCTGTCCTGAAACTCACGGTGGACTGGAACTAAGTACACCAGGCTGGCCTGGATTTCACAGATTTCCTTTGGCTTCGTGGTGCTGGGATTAAAAGAATGTGGCACCAGGCCCTGCTGATAACACACTTTGAGCAGTGGATGGTCTGCTTTGTTACGCTTATCTCCATATATCCTGTAAAACCACATCAAAATGATAGAAATAATTGTTGGCAAAAATAAAAGAAAATATAGATATTCGTAAAAGTAATCTTTTTTTTTTAATTTCTAAAATCCAAAACTCTGCAGGAAATGATTAATCATGTTTAGAGAAAATATCTGATAATTGCCTCTAAATATAAAAGATCTGTGTGATATTAAGGTTGGTTGAAAAGCCCACTGCCCCTGAACTTTAGCTTAGTCTCTTTCTGTGTATATGTGGACAGGTTGGTATTCTTCAGTCTCTTGCTCTGGTTTCTGTATGTGGTTAATGCTGGTCAAGAGTTAGCTAGGAAGTATTTTATCTGGTCTGTAGTATGAAGAAAATTGTGGACTCATAATTTCTTAAATCTTTGGTGGAATTTATGTAAACCAATCTGGGCTCAATTTTCTACTTTTATATGTTATTCATTATAGATTAAATGCTTTTATTATATGAAGGTTTCCTGATATTGTCTGTTTGTTCTTGTGGTCTGTTTTGCCAGATGTCTTTTTATGAGTTTATGTAGCTCTTCCAAGTACCAAATATGTGGGAATATCTTTCTTATCATTGAATGACCACATTCTCTGAGGATACCTTTCCATTCTTATTATTATTTGTATTCCCTCCTCCTCCTTCCCCTCCTCTTTCTTCTCTTCCTCCTCCTTGTTCTTCTAATTCTCCTACTTTTCCACCTCCCATCCTCCCATTCCTTCTCCTCCTGCTCTGGCTAATCCTTCTTCTATTCTCTCTCCCCTTTTCGCTCTCCATGTTAATTTTGTTAATCTCTTACAGCTGATTAACTTTCAGTTTCATTGATTTTGTTCTATTGATTTTCCTTTTTCTTTTGTTCTCATATTTTATTTACATTATTCTCCTTAATTTGAACTTTATTTATTCCTCTTTAGTCTAGTTTTCTGAGACAGAAATTTAAAATTTTCCTATATGTTTCCTAATCATATTAAATACTATAAAGCTCTCAGCACTGCTTTTACCTCATTACCTTAACCTCTGTTAAGTTGTGCTTTATTTCCATCTTGTTCAAATATTTCTAAATTTTTCTCAAGACTTTTTTCTTTTAAAACTCTGTTGTAATTGCAGGCCAGCTGGGACTATAGGGCTACTCTGTCAAAACAAAACAGCAAAACAAAACAAAACGAAACAACTCGTGTTGTACTTGGAAGTATGTCATAGTCTCTGCAGACTTTCAGATATTTTCCAACTTTCCTTTTCTTACTGATTTCTAGTTTAATTCCTTGGTGTCTCAGAGCAGATGTTGTGTGATTCCTACTTTTCAAATTTTACTCAAGGATTGGGTTTACTCAGAATATGATGTTTCTTTTTGACTATTCTACTTGAGATTTATAAGCGTTCTGTTTCAGAATAAGTTATTTTATACATGACAGACGTATCCAGATATTTGATTGTATTGTATTGTTTGACTATTTCCTTAATATTTTAAATTTTTCCTTCTTTATGATTTTTTTTTATTTTTTTGTCTTTAAGTTATACTTCTTCAATCCTTCCTCCTTTTTGATCTGTCCACTTTTGACAGAGGAGTGGTGAGCTTGAAATTTACAAAAACAAAAACAAAAAACAAAACAAAACAAAAACATTTAGCTCTCCCTATATTTAGTTTGTCTCATATATTTTGTTGTTCTATTGTTAAGTAAAAACATGTAAAACATACATTGTAAAACTCGACTTTTAAAATAACTAGATCAATGTAACAACAACAAGAACAACAACAAAACACCCAAACATGAGTGCACACAGAAGGGCCACCTGTATTTTACAAATAGGCAATATTTGACACAGGTGCCAACAACTCACACAGGAGGAAATACAGCATCTTCAACAAATCAACCCATACCTATCACCCTCCAACTCCAAAAGTCAATTCCAAATGGATCAAAGACCTCGATGTGAAGCCTGAAGCCCTGAAACTGTTAGGAAGCATCCTAGAAGATATAGATAAAGGAAAGCTTTTCTAAATATGACATCAGGAGCTCAGGAATTAAGGTCAACAATCAACAAATGGAACCTCATTAAACTAAACTACCACTGTCAAGGAAAGGAGACAATCAAGTAAAAAGGAAAGCTGCAGAGTGGGAGAAATTCTTTACCCGCTATACATGTGACAGGGGATTAATATCTAGAAAATACATAAAACTCAAAAAAAAGAAGCAAGAAAAAAATTATCCAATTAAAAAAATGAGTTATGGATCTCAGGGAGAACTCTCAAAAGAAGAAATAAAAATGGTTAGGAAACACTGTAAAGTTTTCACTACTCTTAGTAATTAGGGAAATGCAAATCAAAATCACTTATGATTTCATCTTCCCTAATGACTAGCTTGCGTGATATCAGAGGATACTGTATTTGCTGCCAAGGAAGAAATTTGCCAATGTTCCTACCCATCTGTAGAACTTAATAAATATCAATGACTGGCACTGAAAACTACCAATATTTGTGTAGCAGTGGCACTTTTACCTTGGGGTAAGGAACAACTGTCAGATTGGAATCATGGCCTGCCTAATGGAAGGGAACTCATGTGTGGTACTGTAAACCAAGCCAAATATACATGGTTGGAGATGTCATGGATCCCATTGAAAACTTAATTTGCCCCTACTCTAGACCAAAGTAATATCTTAGTGTAGTCTAAATATGCATCCTTGCATTTACAGACAAATGTACCTTCCATTCTTCTTCAAAGAAGCTTTTTTTGAAGCTGATGGAGACAACTGTACAATTCCAGAACTGACTAAATGAATAGAATAATTATCTGTGAGACACATAGTCCTAAATGACACATATTCAATGCCGCATCTACACATAGTGTGAATGCATTACTCAGCTCTCACTAGAGAGGATTTCTTATGTAGCAGATGTTAACAAAGAAACCCACAATTCATGAATGTGCAAAGAACAAAAGGCCATAGAGTACTTATCCTTGAATAGGACACATATTTCAAACCTTTGCTTCTCAAAGTTCAGGAATCATTGCAGAAGAGGGGCATAAGATTGTAAGAGTCAGAGGAGGTGGCTAATCACAAGAAAACAGAGTCTTCTGAAGAGCTGGTCAGTTACTCATATTAACACACAGCAATGTTAACAGCATTCAGAAGACCAATGCAAGCTAAAAGAAGACAAAATCCCAGCTTAGACATGGGGAAGTGACTAAGAATTACCAACCCAATCTAAGGAACTTCTGACAATTATAGGTTCCTGAGATGGGGAAAGAAAATGTTTTACAGGACTGGTACTCTTGTTTGGCCCAGTGGATGGGCCCAGACTGAAGAATATTTGGGGACACAAATCAGACTCTAGGCCATATATACACACATACACACCTCTATCTCTCTCTTGCTCTCTCTCTTTCTCATATATGTGTGTGTGTGTGTCTGTGTGTGTGTAGATATAGATAGACAAATATATAGAGAGTTAACTACATCTCTCTCTATATATATATACCTATGAGAGCACATTAAATTGGGTGGTTGACAGAGGAGGTGCAAATAGCTAAGGAATTGAGACGTCCTAAATATCCTTCAACTGGTAAATAGATAATGATAATCTCATGTATTTACACAATCAAGTTCTACTCTGCAGTAAAGAAAAAATGAAATCATGAAATTCGTATGTACCTTGATGGAACTAGAAATTGTTATACTAAGTGAAGTAACATAACACAAACTTGAAAAACAAGTGACATATGACATATGTTCCCTCCCATTTGTGGATCTAAACTCCAAGACTTTAAATGTGAGTACATATCCTGATTTAAACACAACGATCAGGAAAATGTTAAGGAACCAAAGGAGTAAAGAGAAAGAAGGAACTCAAGAGAAACAAGGAAAAAAGGACTCAAGGAGATGGAGTTTATAAAAGGGGAAATTAAGATGTTGGGCACTATAAGGATGGAGATGTGAATTAAATAATGATTAGATGGTTTGAAAAACCAGATGAAAATATATTATTACAAAATCCTACTGAAAAATACACATATAATATATATGTATATATGAGTGCACATGAATAGCTAAGACGTTTTAACAAAAAATTCAGTGTCAGGCAGGAGAAAACTTCCTGTAATTTGTTAGTGTGTAAAGGAAATTCTCCAAATAACACAGGCTACTGCCACAGCTCTTGGTTTCCTCCCAGAATTTGAAGGTGAGGCCCTATTGGACATTTTGAATATTAATTGATTTTTAACTATTTTTATATTGGAATGTGATCCGTATTTGAAATAAATATTTTACCTTTTTTACAAGTTCTCAAACAGTTTTTGGCACACCCTTTTTATTTATTTTTTTAATAAATAATTTATGGAGAATTTCATACATGCATATAAGGTGTTTTGATGAAAACCATGCCCTCTCCTTCTCTGCCAACTCCTCCCATATTATTTCTTATATTTATATCCACTAGATAACTCTATACATATAAAAATTAATCTATAAATAAACACATATGTACATAATCAAATAATTACATAGGGCTTGAAGATGGCTCAGTGAACAAAGTACTTTCAGCAAGAGGAAATAAGTTCCGATCCCCAGAATGCACATAAGGTGCAGGCAGGTGTGACAGTTTCCTGTAGTCTCAACATTTAAGAAGCAGTGACAGGGAAACTCTGAGGGAAGCTGACTAGCTCGACTACACTGAACCAGCAAGTTCCAATTTCAGTAAGATACCCTGCCTCAATAAGTAAATTTGAGAGATACTGCAAATGACACTTGACACAAACTTGTCAACTTAGAGCCTCCTAATAAATGTATACACACATATGCAAAGTCACATTCATGAAAATTCACATATGCATACACACTACACACACATATACACACGTGCAAAACAAACGAAATTATTATTCTATATAAATTATAAGCCTTCGTGTAATTATTATACTCTTTATTCAATGGATTTTATCACATGACTCTATTTAAATACAAATGATTAACAGATTTTATAAATTTGTTCATTGACTGACAACATAATAAAACACAAAAGGTTATTAGGATGTAAAGAACACTATGATGAAGAAATCAGAGGTAGTGGATATCAAGTTGATCCCACTGTGTTTAGTATCACTGATCAATATGTCAACATCAATTTGTAAGTAAAACAAGAATTGTTCTTTACATCTGTCTTCAACCTCAAACAGATGATAATTTATTTGCATCAATTTAAACTTGTATTAGTTATTGATTCATTTGCTTATGTGATATGATGTGTATATTATATGTGTGGTATGTGTATATGTGTAGACTTGTCTGTGTCAATGCCTATGGAGGCCTCATGTTCACATTGCAATGTAGTCTCCTATGATTTCTCTGTATTATTTTTTGAGAGTCATATGATTCTGTGGCTTGATGTCTTGGCCAGGCTGGCTGGTGAGCAATACACTAGGATTCACCTGTCTCATTCAATCCAGCACTGGTGTTACAGATCCATAACACTATGCCCCACATTTACATGTGTACTGGGGTCTAACTCAGGTACTTAATCTTGCAGAACCAGTCTTTTACCATCTTCTCAGCCCTAGAAACTCATTTACCCCACTTAATTAGTACTTCATCACTGAAAATGTCCTTTGCAGAAAATACAAAGGAAAATTATTGTTGACAAATATACTAAGATGAAAACAGACAAATCATAAAACAATAGTACTTTTTTAATTGGAAAGTTTTAGATGAGAAAAATATCTCTCAATTCAATCAGATAATTTTTAAAAAGGTTGAAACGTTTTTTTAAAATTTGGAGGTCATGATAATGACACACACACATACACACACGCACATACATAGACATATATTCTATGTGTGTAGGGATGTGTGTGTGTGTTTGTGTGTAGATATGAGTGTTTTGTCTACATGTATGTAAGTGCACACATGTTGCTCAATGTCCATAGAGGCCAGAATAGGAGGACAGTCCCTCTGGAACTAGAGATAAGAAAAGTTTTAAGCTGCAAAGAGGGTTCTATGAACTGAATCCAGGTCCTCTGCAAGAGCAGCCAGTATTTTTAACTGCTGAGCCAAGTTTTCAGCCCTTCAAAAATGTATGTTTTACAAAAGGGGTTATAGGTAGAAGTAAACTGTAAAATTAATTTTAAGTCATAGCATTCTAATGAAAAACTTTGAATTGAAAAGACTTGAGGATTCTCTGGAACTGGAATTACTTAACATCATTGCTGAGCATGGAACTCAGATCCTCTTGAAGAGCAGGATTACATAGGCAAAAACATGCATATGTTAGTGGATGTATAATTTCTTGTGTTTTATGAATGTTTTTCATTGAGCCTATTGTCTCTTTGAGATCAGATATAAGTGTTTCTAAAAACAAAACAATACATCAATAAATAAATAAATAAATAAATAAATAAATAAATAAATATATATGTATGTCACATGTTTGAGTTTGTTTCTCCATTGCTGTGACAAAATACTCTGACAAATACCAACTTGAGGAGCAAAGGGTTTATTTGGCTTACATCTCCTGAGCAACAATTCATCAAGGACCCCGAGGTAGGAAGTCAGAGCAGGAAGCTGGAGGCAGGAGCTGGTACACCGGTCACAAGGAATGCTGCTTACTGGCTTGCTCCTGTGATCAGTGCCCAACCTAATTTCTTATCCAATATAGGCCCACCTGCCTAGGGGTGGCACCACCCACAGTGGACTGAGCACTCCACTATCTCTTAGTGATCAAGAAGATGCCCCACAGACATGGTCACAGGCCAGTCCAATGAAGGCAATTTACCAACTGAGGCTCCCTCCACCAAGGAGTGTCAAGTTGACAAATAAAGCCATCTGGCATGTTATTATGTTTTAATAATCCCTTCACCCAACAATGCTATTTTCCTCTAAATTCAGCTCTAAATATTTTCTTAAAATTCATATTTTACTTAAGTAAAGGAAACTTCTAAAAGAAGTTCAAGTTCGAATGGTTGTAGCATCTTCAAATAAAAGACATTATATTTAGAATCTGATATTCTGAAGTCTGTATATAGTGATTTCATAAATTGTGGTGACATACTTTTGTTTTATTATTTGAATCAAGTTCCTTGAACTTGTAACACAGGCCAGTTTGATGCCTTTCTTTCAACCATTTTGAATTGAAAATTGTTGGGATACATCATAAGCTAATTCATTTGTTTGGCAAACCTACAACAGATCACATGCTTATGGTTTCTTAACACAGTAGTAAAACTTTCAGTTTTGCTCCAAACCTGACATTTACTTTAAGAACATTTTCCAAGTGACTTGACTATACAAGGTCTTATGTTTCCTCAATGTACATATTTAAGGAAAATCTTTGACAGTGGTATGTGCAGTGTCTTTGAGTGGAACACTTAACCTTGCTTTGAAGACAAGCCTCTTCAAGAAAGCACACAGGTTTAACTGTGGGGTTTCAACAGTACGATTTGAACAAACACCTAATACTTACAGGTACGCGGCTTTTCCTTCTTCGAGTTCTTTACTTTTGCCACTGGAGCCACTTTTCTTCCCACACATTCTCCTCGTGATACACATCAGTAACCCACACTGTCGAATGAAGAAGCAGCTGACATCTGTTACCACAAGGATTAGCAAAAGGGCAGCAACTCCAAGGCCAATGATGGCTCCAAGTCCAAGGCCATTAAAAAGTGTGTCTTAAAAAATAAAAGGAAACAACTCCATCAAATCTAAGTTCAGAAACTTTGAAGACTTTTCAAATTAATCTGTAGTAATACTCAAATATATGGAAAGTAAAAAAAAAAGTAGTTGTAACTAGCAAGCTTCAATTTCTTGATTATCAGTACTATTGTCTGGCTATTAAATCATATTTTAAGCACTGACATGTTAAAATATAATTTAAAAAAATTCTCTTTAGAAGGAAGATAAGTATCTTTTCAATGTAGTTCTTGATTCCCTGTGGGGAAGAAAATGAATATGATCATATCCTGAACTGTAATTTATCAGAAATTCAGAGTCATTATAGATAATCACAATGTTAAAAAAGAAAATATAATTTAATATATCTGTTAGAGAAAGGTTATATAAATGTTCATTGTGGTTAATTTTAGCATTCAGATGAAAACCTTCATTTGGATGGCTCCAAGAACTATACTTTGACAGTGAAATTTTTTAAATACCCATCTTTAAATAATTTTGAAACCATCATTTCATTATAAGTGGATTGCTTGCATTTTCCACTTAACATTTTAATAAAGACCATTTATAGCTATAATTTTTACATTTTAATGATCTTTTTTATTTGACATCATGAAAAATTGAATGTCTAAGATGGACCAATTTGTTGTTGCCTGTGTTGGTAAGGAATCCCATTTGACTTGCACACAGTGTCTATGAAGGCGTCACTGGAAAGAGGATGGTATATGGGGAAATGGGGGAAAATGGTAAAAACAGGAGGCAGTAAAATTAAGATTCCATATCTAGAGTTGAATATGAGATGAGATTAAGCAATTATAGCAGTAAAGGTAGGAAAATAAAAACATGAGAAAGTGAATTGAACTGATCCAGCAAACAGAGGGAAAGGAAGATGTAGCTATATTATAGATACAATATCTAAAAAATAATATAAGAGCATAGTCTAAGAATATTCTTATATAACATTGTAAAACTATAACATTCTCTTATTAAAGGTAAAATATATTTGCTAACAAAAATTAAAATAGGATGTTCCTTATGTAATTGATATGAAACACATTGGGAGATATAGGGAAAGTTATAAATTTGAATTTTGAGTAAAACCAGTTTTCAATTAAATTTTTGTGTAATATTAAATTTTTAAAAATATATACTTACATGTAGATTTATTATTTTGGTATGACTTGAAGAAATATTGACCCAAAAGATTGAAAATAAGTGATCTTACTTTAAATAAGAATCAGCAGATTGAATTGAATACATTAAACTTGTTTGAATCTTTATTTTTTTCTGTAAAAGAAATGAATGCTATGTCTAAACTTACTTTTTCAGGAAATATGTACATTATAAATATGTGCTGCCACTGTATGAATGGACTCTACCCTCAAGTTCTGAGAAGACATAAGCCTTTCCTTCCTTAAGTTATTTTTGCCAAGTGTAGTGTCACAACAAGAAAAAAAACAGTCAATACATAAAGCAACATGACTCTTCAAAAAATAATTATTTTGCATTAATCACATTCACTGAAAGGGAATTAGATAAAATTCCAACATTTGAGTTAAAGAATGATTATAAATATCTTCAAGAAAATAACAAATACCACATATCTGGATGAAATACAAAAGAAAACAAAGAAGCAGCTGAATGACAAGCAGAACTCAACACAGATGTGAATGTAGAATCCCCCAAGGAGACAGAAATGCTGAAGAAAAACAATCTAAAATATTAGAAATGAAAGCGTGCAAAGGTCAAATTAAAAGTTTCATGGAAAGGTTTACCAATGGCATTGATCAAGTGAAGTATCAGGGTCTGAAGAGAAGGTTTAGGGATTGAAAATTCAAGGAATGGCAAAGATAACAGAACGGAGCATTTGTTATATATGTGACACTAATTCTATGAATCATGGGCACAGAAGGAGAAGAATGTCATGGTAAAGAAATTAAAAAAAATGTTTTTATGAAACCATAACAATTTTTTCAACTATAAAGAAAGGGATGCTCATGCAGGTTCAGGAGTTATTTAGGTTCAGAAGTTATATACCAAATATATAAGATAGGAATAACATTCCTATATGATATTAATGTTAAAACACTAAATAAGCAGAAAGGAGAATGTATTGAAACTGCAAGAGAGAAACATCAAGGCATGGCTGAAAGCAAGCCCATCTGAATAGCAGCAGATTACTCAGTGGGAAATTTAAAGTCAGGAGTGCTTATAATGAATTCCAAATTCTGAAAGTTAACAACAGCAGTCAACCCACATTACTATATTCAGCAAAATCATTGTCCTAACAGAAGAAAAAAAAACTTTTCATAACCCAAAACCGGCTGAAAAATTGGTGAGCACTATGCCATCTCTACAGAAAAGATCGTAAGTAATCCTTTAAACTGAAAATGAAGATAAATTCAACTATGATTCAACTGGAAGAGTTGTTATCTAAATGAAGAATTGAAAAACATCAATAAAAGGAATTAATACACAGCTATCAAAAACTCTAAATATTAATAGTTTCAACTGCCAATCAAAAGATACAGAATGGCACATTGGATTTAAAACAAAATTCATTAATCACACGACAGAAGCTACTTCAGAAAGAATAGAGAAAGGTATTTCCAACAAATTGAACTAGTAAACAAGCAAAGGTCATGTTTCAAATATCTCACAAAATATACTTTAGACAAGGACTAATCAGAAGTAATAAAGGAAAGTTCACAATAAGGGAACAATCCATCAAAGGTCCTTAAAATTCTACATACATATGCATTGAGCACTATTAGACTGAATTTCAGAAAATAAGTAATAGTATGAAAGTAGACATAAGGGGGCTGGAGAGATGGCTTGGCGATTAAGAACACTGGCTATTCTTGCAGAAGACAAATGTTCGAATCCCAGCACCCACATGGCAGCTAACAACTGTCCGTAACTCCAGTTCCAGGGGCTCCAACAGCATTTCTCTCCTCCGTGGGCATTGTACAACACGGGTGCACTTACCTACATGCAGGCAATACATGCATATACATAAAAATAATAAATAAAATATTTTTTAAAAGTAGATATAAAATGAAAAATTAACCCCCCCACAGTAATAGTGGATGATTTAAACATGCTACATTGATAGGTCACGCTGAAAAAAAAAATCTTAAGTATCTGTGTTAAACCATATCATAGACTGAAGAGACCCAAAGGCATCTACAAATTTTCCATTCAAACACTGCCAAATAACCATGTGGTTGAGCAGCCCATGTAACTTTCTCAAAAAAGACATTATATGGTAGGACATAAAGGAAGAAATGACAAATATTAGGGAATTGAAATAATTTCTAGTATTGTATTTGACCACAATGGAATAAAAATAAAACTCAACAGCAAGTAAAACTACAGACAATAAACAAACTCTTGATCATTGAACAACATGCCATTAATGATGAATAAGTTACTGAAAAAAACTAAAAAAGGAGATCTAAAAATTTCAGTTATCATTGATTCTATAGATCACTGTGTCTTTCAACGCTCTTCAGATAAACTTTTTTTCAGAGCAGATGGTGAATAACTTAGAGATTTAAAACTAGTCCACATGCAGAGAAAAAGATACTGTGGATGCACAGCCTTAAATGTGACATCTGTATCACATATCACATCCCTCCTCTGAAGTCTCAGGAAGCCTCCAAGAACAGGAGTGGAAAGACTGTTAGAATCAGATGGTGATTGGTGAACACAAGGAAAATGTGTTGTTTGGACACAAAACAGCAGATGTACATATGAACCAACAGCAGATTTGACAACATGCACAAGACATGTAAAAGCCTGGCATATCAATCAAAATTCCAACATGGAGAAGAGAGGTGAACATGAGAGGAACTATTATCAATTGATAGCTGTTCAGAGAAGGACGGCTGTTTTCTTAAAGGCTTTCATGCCAGGTAGGTTGACCATGCTCCAGGGGTGATCTCACAACCAAAAATACTTTAGGAAAACAAAATGAACTGAACAGAAGTTAAAAATGTAGAACATGAAATGGAGAGTAGGGAGTTAGGGTAAATAGGAAGGCAGATGTGGTGATAGGATTTGGATATGATCAAAATACATTGTATGAAATTCTCAAAGAATCAATAAAAATAATATATTTTTAAATTGAGTCAAATTAGAAAAACCAAAGAAAATTTATTGAATGCAATGAAAGCAGTCCCCAAAATGAAATGCATCATTACAAGTGCCTACATTAAAGAGTCAGGCATAGCAAGCAAACAATTGAGCAATGCATTTAGAATCTTGGAAAAACAAGAACAAGAGAGACCCCAAATCAGTGAATAGAAAATTTTTTTTTCAGAAATTATAAAATATAAACAAATTTTACACATTCAATGAAAAATAATACTAATGCAATTCAAAGTACAAATATAAAGGGAGACATCACCATGAGATATTAATGAAATACAAAACGTGTTTAATACAATTATAGAAAGATAGATTCCACTAAATTGGAAAAGTCTAACAGAAATGTGTGACTTCCTAGATGATTATGCCATGCAAATGGTCAACTAAGATAAGACAAAATTTAAACAGATCATTGGGACTGGAAAGATGGTTGAATGGACTGTACACACTGAGGATTTAAGTCAAAATATATCCTTTACCTGCACAGTGTTTTTAATCATGTATTTTGTCACAACTGGGAGAGAAGGAACTAATATACCAGAGGAATAAAAGACCTAAACAACAAAAACTTAAAGACACTGAAGTAGGTGATTGAAGAAGAAACCAGAAGATGGAATGATCTCACATTCTCATAGAGTGGAGTAACTGATGTGTGAAATGGCCATCTTACCAAAAACTATCTACTAATTCAATGTAATCATAAACAAAATGTCAATTCCCAGCACCCACATGGTGGCTAATGACCATCTGTAACTCCAGTTCCAGGGAATCTGATATCCTCTTCTGGCCTCTGCAGGCATTGCTTGGCATGCAAGCTATACGCTCATAACCATAAAAATTTAAAAAC